CCGCTCCCTCGCCGGCCTGGGCTAGCCCAGGCCGGCGAGGGAGCGGCGGGGCCGGCGCCATGGCCGAGCGGGGCCGCCTGGGCCTGGCCGGCGCGCCCGCCGCGCTCAACACGCCGGTGCCCATGAACCTGTTCGCCACCTGGGAGGTGGACGGCTCCAGCCCCAGCTGCGTGCCCAGGTACGCCGCCGCCCGCCTGCCGCTTTGTTCCCGCGCGCACCTGCCGGCCACCCGGGACCGGCCACAGGGGACCTCGCGCCTGGGTCCCCACCCGAGGCCTGCACGCGGGACCGGCCACCCCGGACCTGCACCCGGGGCCCCCGCCCGGGACAGTCCACCCGGAACCGTTCACTCTGGGATCCCCACTCGGGACCCACACCCCGGGCCGTCGCCTTTGCGCCCCACCTCGGGCACGCGCCTTCCGTGCGGACCACCCCTGATGCGTGGATGGTCCCTGAGGTCCTGGTCCCGTGCAGCGGAGGAAGTGGCCCCGGGTTTCTCAGGCCCCGCGGTCCCCCGAGGCTCTCTGAGGCGCACACCTGGTTGGCTCCCAACCGGCATCGTTGCACCTGCCTACCGATGCGGTGACGGTGGAGTTGACTCAGGGTGTCTCCTCTCTCCACCGGGTACCATAGATTTCCTTTTGCGTCCAGCCACACTGTCAAGCCTGAGTGGCCTGGGAGTCACTCAGGGCACGCAGTGTACAGAGGACACACAGATCTGGGACCTGGGACCACAATTTTATTCCTTCATCCTTCGTCCTTTTGAGGGTCTGGCCGTACCCCCCTGTCCTGCTGGCGGGGGGTATCTGCCCCTTGCCTGTTTGCACTATGCTGTGTAATTTAGGGATTTCCTTGTACATAAACACTGCTCCTTACATCATACTGTTAATTTTGCCATCGCAAAAGATGCTGCCCTTTCCACTTGGGGGGAACTGCCCTGTCCCCAGCGGTACAGCTGGACGAGGCTCACCCACCGGACAGCGCCATGGCCATCCCGACTCTACTCAGGCCTGTCGCTTCCCTGCTCCTCCTGCCAGCTTGAAGCTCTGCGGGTTTCTTCCTGATTCAGTGGTCCCTGCTGAGGAAGCTCCCAGGCTGAGGGGGAAGAGAGACAAACTCACACCAGGGCCTGGTTCTGGAATGGACACCAGGCCACTAGGGCTGCAGGGGGGTGGCAGGGAAAAGCTCTCCCTGGGGAGATCCCCTGGCGGGACCAGAGGAAGTGGCCAGTGTGTACCGAGGGGGGTGTGCTCTGCCACAGCTCCTTCAACAGGTGTGCGAGCCAGGCGTTGGGGACGCAAAGGGCGCCGGGTGCCAGGGTTGCCCTCCCGAGCACAAGGCTGGTGGCTCAGGGCATTGGCTGTGCCGAGTGAAAAGGATGGGTGCTCCCAGACCTGTGTGGGGCCTTGGGAGGTTGTGGTGTCCGAGGGAGACCCACCTGCTTGCCTCTTGTTTGGGAAGTCTCAGGGGCACCTCCCCAGGCCTGGCCTCCCACCCCCTCCAACGTCCCGTCTTGGCATTTGGCCCAGTGTCGGGCGCCACAGCCAAAGGTCATCCTGGACCTTCCCCACCATGCTTCTCCTGTCTGTCACCCCTGCGTCGTCACCCCTCCCCCCCGCTGGCTGCCGCCTCACGGCGCTCCCTGAGGGCATGCTTGCCCCCCTTCCTGCACCTCTTCAGCAGCTTCCTGGGGTGCCCCGAAAGACCACCGAAGTTTTGACCAGAGGGAGGTGAGGGAGGTGGCAGGTGGGCAGGGGTTGCGTGGTCGAGGGGCCCAGTCGGCCCCCCGCGGAGCTGGTGTAGGAAGCCCACTCTGGTGGGTGTGTGGGGAAGGCGGGGGCGGGGCCGTGCAGCGCTAGGTGCTGGGGGTCCCCGGCTCTGCCTGGGGGGGGGGGGGGGGGCGGGGCCTGGCGGGTTGCTCTGTAGGCGTGGGGCTGAGCAGCCGTCGGGGTGGGCAGGCGCAGAGCTCAGGGGTCGGATGCACAGAACAGCCCCTCTGCGCCCCGGCGTGGCCCTCCCCGCAGCACCCGGGCCCCCCCGCTTGGACCCCCGAGCAGGCCTCCTTGGATAGGCTGTTCTTCGTTCCGCTCGCTCGGAGACTATGTAGAAGGGATTCCACTCTGTCCGTTTGCACGTCTCCTCTTGCCCGGTCTCTAAGTTTCTGAGCGGCATCGAGCTGCTGTCTGTGCCTGCGGCGTGGTGTTCCCTGTAAGACAGCAGCACGTGTCTCTGCTTTGTGGGGGGACCTGTGGCTGTCCACAGCTTTGGGCCAGTTATGAATGCACCCCGTGGGCGGGCATTCTCGCACTGGCCCTCTGCCGCAGGCAGTAGGGCTTGGGGGGCGTGTGCTGGGCGTCACCACCAGGAGCCTTCCCAGAGCGGTTATGCCAGCTCCGGCCTCCCCACCCCCCACCCCTCCCAACCCCCCCGCATCCCCACTGCTCTGCCTTCTTGCCAGCACTGCCTGACTTTCAATTGTTGCCAATCTGGTGGGTGTGAAATGGTATTGTGGTTTTAATTTGAATTTCTCTGATTACTGATGTGGGCCATTTGTACTTCCTCATCAGCGAAATTCCTGTTCATTTCTTTTGCCAATTTTTTCTCCTTTTTCTTTCCCCCCTACTTGAGTCTCAGCAGCGTTTTAGGGACTGGTAATCCTTTTTCGGCAGTGTGTTGACACCACCCTCCTCTGATGATGCACGCTTCTTGGCTGTCTTTTCGAGGTCTGTGATGCCTCCTGAGGTGCACCCGGCGTTGGCCTTGGTCTTGTCTTGTGGTCTTTCCTTCCTGGTGGGGGCGGGAGAGCTCTCTGCTCTTCCCAGCAGCTGGTGCCAGGCCCACGGGGCTGTGACAGAGGCAGGCTCGGTTTCGTGGGTTTCCTCGAGGGAGTGGACAGCACCCCTTCCCAGTGACCCCCGGCCCTGGCGTCTTCCTATCCCTGCCCCTCTGCTGGGATTCCCAAAGCAGCCTCCTCCCCCGCCGCCCGCAGCTTCAGCGGGGTCTGGGGCATTTTGGACCCTTGCACTTGCCCCTTAATTTTCCTTCCTGTGGAGGCTTATGAATTAATTTCGCGGGGTCGGACATCTTTCCACAGGCTTACTGCGCGTTCACATTTCTCCACATCCTCCTGTTGGCGCCCTCTGCCGGCCACAGAGGGTGAGCTCACACTCGCGGAAGGGCCTTCAGCTGGAAGCGTGAGCTTTGGCAGCCGGGTGCCCGGGTCCGCCACTGCCCGCAGGACGGGGATGTCTCCGTCACCCGCGGATGAGTGTCGAGCGCTCGGGGCCAGGCTCCCCCACCGGCCAGGTGCCCCGGGCATCGCGCACGGCAGCCCCGCGGCTCCCTCTCCACGTTGGTGGCATCCGCACGTGGTTTGAACCTGCTCCTGCCGGTGGGTGTTGGGGTCATTTCCTTTGGAGCTGATGTGTTCAGAGCCACTGTGGCCATCCAGGGTGAGGGCTTGGGCCGCGTTTGCTCTTCTCTTCAGGATGGCTGGTCGCAGGGGAGGCGGGGGTGTGTCAACTCTGAAGACACTGCGGGCTTTCCGAAGTGGTGGCACCACCTTGCATGGCCGCCAGCCGTTCTGTGCACGTTCTGTGCACGTTACCATCTTTTCAATTCCAGCCATTCTGGTGGCTGCACGATAGTTTCTCCTTGGGGTCTTGCTCTGCACTTGTTGTGCGTGGGTGTTGGGTATAATCAAGAGCCTGACATGGTGCTTCTCCTTTAACGACTGATGCAGTAAATTACGTCAATGGATTTTCTAGCATTAAAGTAACCTTTCACTCTTGGAAAAATACCAGCGTGGTCATGCCGTGTTCCCCTTCCTGTACATGGGTAGACTGAGATTAAGATTTTGCTTAGGACTTTTGCATCTCTGTCTCGGGTCTGTAATCTCCTGCTCATCTACTGCCCTTATCAGATTTTGGTGCCAAGATATCCTGCAGAAAGAGCTGTTGCATGGTATTGTTTGTGTGAAACAGGAATTGTTTGTTCCTTGAATGTGTGGGAGAAATCACCAGTACAACACCTGAGCTTGAAGTTGCTTTGGGGCAAGTGTAACTCCTGGCTCCATTTCTTTAATGATTGTAGGACACACACACCCCCACTTTAAGTTAGTTTCGGAAATATAGTTTTCTGGGAATTTGTCCATTTCGTCCAGATTTTCAAGTTTTTGGCAGAAAGTTGTTCGTAATATTCTTTTTTTTTTTTTTTTTTTTTTTTTTTTTTTTTTTTCTTTTGGGGCTCTTTTTTTTTTTTTTCTTTTTTTTTTTTGGAACCCCCGCCCCGGGGGCGCCGCGCTGTCCC